GGCTCCCCATCTGCATGCAGGGGAGTGTGCATGTTCCCTGTTCTGCAGAGCTCTTGTGTCGTTTCAGCAGAGATCCGGCCTCAGAGATGGAGGAAAGACAGTGTTGTGAGCCATGTCAGATTTGTATCTCCTGATGCTGCACTCAGACACCACGTACTGTCTTGAGGCAGACAAGGCTTGTTGTTACACAAGAGGTGTCTGTCAAAGGACAGCAATGTCAAAACTGGCTCACAGAAGTATTTATCTCGTTTCCTCTGATGTGCTACAGTAACCTCTGATTTTCATTCAGTGTTTCCATGTACATGCAGAAAAAACACATGTTCCAGGCTTTGGATGTATTTGGGTAATTAGTGGGGCAAGTTTCGGTAGCAGGGGGAGCTCTAGAGGTGGCTTCTGTGAGAAGCTGCCAGAAGCTTCTCCAGTGACCAACACAGCCAATGCCAGCCAACTTCAGGACTGACCTGCTGGCCAAGGCTGATTCCAGCAGCAACAGTGGTAACACCTCTGGGATGACATGGCTAAGAATGGGCAAAACTGCTGTGCAGCATCAATCACAGCTGGAGAGAGGAATGAGAATATATGAGAGAAGCAGATTCCCCTGCAGGCCATGATGCAGATGATAGTGAGGCAGCTGTCCCACTGCATTCCATGAAGGCTTACAGGAGAGCAAAGATCCACCTGTAGCCTGTGGAGGATCCATACTGGGGCACATGAATGCCCAAAGGAGTCTGTGATCCTGTGGGGAGCCCTGCTGCTGCAGCCTTCAGGCAGGAGGTCGAGTAAATGGGGAATAAAGTTGAGCCTGGGAAGAGGGGAGGGAAGGGGAACTTCTTTTTAAGACTTTAGTGTTTTTCTCATTACCTTACTCTGATTTGAAAGGTAATAAGTTAAATTATTCTTTTCCCAAGTCAAGTCTGTTTTGCCTGTTATGGTAATTGATAAGTGATCTCTCCCTGTCCTTACTTCAGCCCTGTCATGTATTTTTGTCCCTGTCATGTTGATGAGGGAGTGATAGAGCAGCTTTTGTGGGCACCTGGCATTCCGCCAGCATCAACCAACCACAGTCCTGTTAGTTAAAGTAGCAACACTTGCACAGAATTAGTATACAATGCATTTTCTGGAGAGCACACACACGTATTCACAAAAACAATACAATTGCTATTCCTGGAAGACTGCAATTAAAGGTTCTAATCCTGCACTTAGCTTTACAGAGACAAATCTTAAAAAAAAAAAAAAAAGTAGAAAACCTCCTTGAACTCAGCAACACTTCTTGCAGCTGTGCAATTCCAGCCACCCGAAAATTGCTGCAGGTTTAAGGGGGTAAGCTGAAGAGGCTTCAGGAGTCAATGAAACATCATAAAAGGAATGATATTTACAAATGTGACAAGGAACAACAGAATAGGATTGGAATGAGAGAGAAGACTGAGAATAATATTAGGTGTTAGAAGCCAAAAAAATACTGCACATAGGCAAAATGTAATGATTCCAAGGAGAAAAGACAGATAATGGAAACCCCAGGGCATAGGAGATTATCTTGATAAAGTGGATATGTAGAACATGCACTGAGATACTACAGCACTATGATGTCTGGAGTAGAAAGAGAAATGCAAAGCTCAAGTTCAGCTGGTGGAGCTTTAAAAGGCCCAGAGGGGGTTAAGAAGAGAGATACCAATCTAGGCAGCAAGGGAAGAAGTGATGGAGAAAGACTGCTTGGCATCCTTTACATAAGGATGCTGCTGTGATAAACTGTGGGAAAGGGGAGCCTGCAGGGGAACCCTGGCAACCCACATCAGGCTGTGATGATGTTTCTAATGTTTCCTTCATTTCTATGATAAAGCAGCAGCAACAGAGTCAGAACTGCTGAGAATGAACATGAAGAACAATAGCATGTCACTGAATCTGTAATGGATCTAATAGATCATTTTCAACACTGAAGGAAGTAACTTCACAAGAGAAAGAACCCTTTATTATTTTGTGGTTTCTCCCAGCATTGTCTTGTATCAACCAGACTGCACAACTATACACATCTTTGATTTAGCTTTACACAGCTAATTTCTTAACTAAACGCAAGCATCACAACCTAATTTTTGAACAACTAAAAGGTGCGCAACATAGTAATGGGGAAAATAAATATAACAAGAGTAATCGAAAGAAAGTTTTCAAAGTGAAGGAAAAATCAAACCTCCTCCCCTCCAAATGCTTTTTGAAGCTGAAATTCATAAGCTGAGTAAACATAATGAGAAGTATTTTCAAAATACAATTTATGAGGTGATAGAAATAAAAGAGCATTTGAAAAAACACTTTAAAAGGAGCTAAGACATAAAATGCTTCCAGTGTTATGACTTTTCTTTTACAATTTTACTCAGAATAGAAAAGGAATGAAGACTAAAACAGAAGAGAGAAAAGTATATTTTTCTTCAAAAGGTCATTATGGTATTTTGTTACATTTTTATACAGAAGCAATTTCCTGAGCAAATAATACATTCTTCGTGTCAACTCCTTAGCAAATTGAATTAAAGTTCTTTCTCTAAATGTAGTTATTCACATTAAGTCAACTCATTAAAAACATGTCTGAAGAGTTTCACTAGTAATAAAAATCATTTGCAGTTCTGAGTTTGTGAGCTGGGCTCAACCCAAAAAAATGCCACCACCCTAACTCAGGTATTTGCATTGCTTTATTGACAAGGACACTTTTGACATGGACACTTCCCCATACTAGCTAATGTTCAATGCCTGTGACACAGAATTTTACTTTTGCTATCAACTGTAGCTGAAAACATTTCCTTCTTAATTCAAGAAACGGAGAAAAAAATATGATCTAAATTTCATAAAGTGCAAGCAATGCCTAATGCCAGGACACTAACAGATGGCCAGATCTCATTACAGCAATGTAAGATGTTCCTGCTCTCAGGTCTCTGCTCACACCACAGACATGATCTTTCCTCTGCTGTTTCACAGCAGAAGCAAACACATTACAGCTGCTCAGCCTAGTCAGCCACTCATAGGCTAAAACAGCAATAAAGATAACAATAAAGCTGGAAATTGAAGGCCAAGAGAGGTTTTTGACTAGTGAACTTCACATGGCAAAAAGAATACTCAGCAGAGTGAACCAAAGTCCCTTTGTGGATCCTGAGTGAAGCAGACTGTAATAATATTCTTGTATGTGTATTCTGTAACAGGATTATACTCATATTTAGGCTAGAAATCCCAGTGCCAGCACATCCAAAACAAGCAGGGTGCTTTCTAGGAGTAGATGGGCATTTGGGGGATGAAAGCCTTAGATAACTAAACCTTAGAAAACTAAAACTAGAGTTCAAAAACATACTACCAGCAAACAAATAGTTCTACAGAAATAGGAGGAGACACTTTGGCAGGAGGGAAGGAAATGTGGAGGCAGTGTGTGACATAATTCATAAAAAGCCTAAAGAAAGGTTTTAGTACAGCCACAAAAGGAAGAGACCAAGGTGTGGACTGCAAAGTCACCAACTTCTTGGGGAATAACCTCTCAGTTCATGATGCAACTTTGCACACTAACTTTCTGCTGGATAATCCACTCCTGTGTTTCTTTGTACTCTACATAAACCCTAGGCTGATGAAAATTGGTGTTATTCCAGTTGATGTAATCTGTTCTTGTTATTTGCTTCATTTTAGTACAATTGGCTATTCCTGTTACTTTTGTTCAGATCAAATTTCTAGTCTTTATTCCAAGAAACTGCTACTTGCTGAACCATGTCTTGAGTAAGTTTGAAATTTTTCTGTTCCATTAGTGCAGTAACTCATCCTATAAACAGAAGCTTGTTGGGGGGAAATTTGACAAATCATTCTGTCATTTTAATTTTAGTAGGAGTTATTATACTAGACCTATTACGGAACAGTTCACCCTCCATCTGTGTGATTTCTATATTAAATATTGACAATTTCACAGGGATGTCATAAAAAATTGCGCATTAAAACGATCATTTCTTCTACTTACTGATGTCTGCACTGGGATATTTTACCCCCTCCTTGCACACCCCTTTTTACAAGCCATATATATCCTAAATCCATCCAACTGTTTCTTCCCTTTTCCATCCAGCAATTTTTTCTCAAGGTCACCCATAAAGACATTAAGATTACTTTTTTGACTTAACAAACCAGCAGCTTTCTACTGCTATCTGAAGGGGAATAAATAGAATCAAGAATGGTTGGGAATTACTTAGTACATTCAGCAACTCTGGATTATCTTACTACCACCATATTTAATATAAGAGTTACCTTTTTTTTTTAGCTTGCTTAAATTATTGTTTTTATGCTTCTGCTGTAGGTTTTGGTTTTGAGGGTTATAGTGGCGTTCTTTGATTTGTTTTAATAAGGGAGTTATGAAAATCCACATTTATAAAGTAGCAGGCTCTTTCATCATGGCCTTCTTAAACAACAATTTTTCTATTGATTTATCATTGAAATTACTGGGAAAAAAATTCTAGGCTTTTAGCTGGAAATGTCAGGTACTGTATTAATACAAAGTTCTCAGAGTTCTCTTCCTGACTGCAAAGTTTCTGCTGGTTTATTCTTAGCCATCTACTTCATCTGATTGAGTATGAGTTTATTTTAAGGAATACTATTCATCCTCGAACTTCTATTTATTATATTGAGAATTCTTTATAGAAATGACCACAGGAGGCTACAACAGTGCCAAAGCATATTGGACTGTGGTTCCCTCAGGACATGCCGTTTGTTTTACAAGCAGCTAAGTGAACCATATATTCTTTTCATGCCTCTTTAAGTTCACAGGTGCTCAAAATATTTGGAGAATTCTCAAGGCTCAGATCCTTAGCAGAAAAGCTATTTTTAAATCTTTTATTTCTATTGGACAGATGAAAACAAGAAGTACTGTGGCTAAATCCTTACAGATACTGAGTTAAAACTGTTTCTGCCAACTTCTTTGAATAAGTACTCAGGCTGAAGCTCACATTTTTCTTTGCACTGTGAAAGCAATTAAGAAATTAACTAACAGACTCAAATAAGGTGAAGAGTATTTTCTCTCTCCAAGGACAAAGAGAAAATACTTACTTTTATTTCAGTAAATACCACTACATTTTCAGGTTTGCAGCAGAAACACCAAATCAGCAGCAACGCATGTTGGATGTCTAATTGTCATCCAGAGGCCAGCATTATTCTGAAGTCCCTGGAAGAGCTCTCCAACAGATCTCCTCCTCTCATATCTCCGCCAGCAAGTGGCTTCCTGTCAGAGGACTCTGCAAACATAGATAAGAGAAAGAATCAGGAGTGCTCCTGCTGTACTAAATAAATTCACTCAGGAGGATATTGATGAGATTACTAATTTATTTAACACATACACTGATTTCAGAATGGGAATAAAATTTGCCTCTTACCATTCATCAGTTACATATTGCCTAGGGCCATGAGCCTGCTCATAGCCTTTTCTTCTTTCTCCTTGTTTTTGCCCAATTTAGTTTCACTTTTTCTCTCCTTTCCTGTACTTCATTTTGGACTGAAATACTTCAAACACGAATGCTCTGGTTTGTAACAGTCAACATATTGTCACCACAACCTTTACAATGACAGATGCCACTTTTTTTTTAAGTAGAAACAGATTTTTTATTAGCAGCTCTAAAAGTCCTCTATACTGTTAAAAGAGCACTTTCTTAAAACATTGAGAAAATACATTTTCACTAGCAGCTGGTCTTCTTGACTGCCTATATAACCTTCCTCAAGGAGGAAAGGTACTTATGTGAGTACTTGAGCTACAGCTGACTGCTCACTCCTTACCTTGGGACTTCCATCAGGTAGGCTGGAAATACCTGAAGAAAATCATGTCAACAAAGGCAAGACAATAAACATCCACCTCTAATCCCTGCAGCTTTCAATGTCCTTTTTGTGTTCAGAGGTCTGCAAAATAAATTATCACTTGGATATGTAGATCAGCCTTCAGCTACAGGTTTTAATAGAGAAACTATTTAGTTCCCTAAAGTAATAAGGTAGAGGAATCCTAAATGTTGGTCAACTTGGGAGTCCTGAAGGGCATGTAATATGCATCTAAAGTGGCAAAGTCCACAGAGAATTGGCATACTCAGGGAAAACAAGGTAAACCAGCTCAAACCCACCTCCTCCTGTCTCAGATCAGACCTTATTCTACACGCACAGTTGCCATACCAAGTGGGATCACGCTTCTGCACAGAAAGTTTTGCACTTTCCTCACCTATTATTGTTACTCTAGTAAGTCAAATTACAGAAGAAAACATTTAGCCACAGGTGTCTCTACCCCAAATAACACATTTTTCTATTGAATGGAAAAGGGACTTCAAACAGCAGAGAAGAAAGGAAACAAGTCTGCAGACTGAAAAATAGAAAAATAATTTTTTTAAATATATGTAAAGGGACATATATGTAAATATGTAAAATATATGTAAAATAGAAAACAAATGGGAAAAATAAATAGCAAGCAACTGAAAAGCTTCAGGACAGAGCAAGGAAGGGAACATAGCTATTTGCCAACACAATCAAGGATGCTGAGAAAGGGCAGACCTGATCAGCCTGGCCCCACTTCTGCCATATGCATCCTCCCTGAACCAGGAGTTGAAGGAAATTGACATTTCTCCCTAGTATTATTGCTTTCAGTGAATCAATATGAATATAATACCACTCTTTCTAAGAAAGCACTTCACTGTGAGGGTTTATTATGTCTTTCTTGTGCTCAACAGCTGCAAAGTTTCAATTTCTTTGAAGGCAATCATTTTCTGATCAACTTTTCAATGTTTGCTTTCTCTCTGCTCCTATTACAGCTACTTCCTGTCAGCCCCTCCTTGCCTTCTTCCTTTTCCCTGTCTTCTCGAATTTTTTCCTGAACTTCCCAGTCCTTTCCATGCTGCTTCAAGACAGTATTATCAACTTATCTTGAAACACACACACACTTGTGATAGCAACAAGAATTAACTGCCTGTTCTACCACATGGAACAGTTTTTTATGTAGTATTAAATTTAAAGGGAAATCAGAACACAGGCAATTCATTGAGAAGTTTACTTTCCCAACTAAATAGAAGGTTAATGAAGATAACATTAGAAGGAAACATGCTGAAGACAAAAAACAGTTCACTGGGTTCTGATTATTGCTTTTTATGCAGCCTGCCCCTTTCAAGCAGAGTAGTTAAGATAAGAGGTCTATGGCTAATATCTGATTATGTGGTCTATGTGATTCAGTTCAAGAAAAAACAATGTAAAAGACAAGGCTTTTGCTTTCACTCTTTATTCACAGGAGTGAGGTATTTTTTTGTATGTGGGGTTAAAAAAGGGGAATAGATTGAATCAACAACACAAAGCTTTTTTTTAAAGTCTTATCACAGAAGATAGCAAAACTTTAAAATTCAGCTTGATTGAAAATTTACCTAAAACCTGTTTCTGAGGGCAGTAGAAAAACTTTTGGAAATCTTGAAGGATTTACTTTCTTTTTTTTTTTTTTTTAATGTTTTAATATAAATATCTTAAATCAAAAAGCAATCAAGTGACCTTTGTGACTTCACCCAAACCCTTTCACTTCTATTCAATATTGGCAGAAAAAACTGGACTGCCATCATCTCCACATTTCCATAAATATACATAATTTCAATGATTCTGGCTTGTTTGTAATTTTCTTGAGTTTGCATTATTTTTTGGCAACTTCATGAGAAAAAGCAAGAGATTCCTGATTTTTTTTTTTAAAAAGGACACAAAACAAAACAGAACAACAAAACCACCTACATTTCTTAGTTGGAAGCCATTACAGAGAGTGTTTTTTTACCCAAGAGCTCTAATTTTAGTCATCATCCCTGGGTCTGACATAATGTACAACTTATGAAATCCTCTTTATCCATCTGAGGAACCTGCACAGAAATAGATTGTTTCAGTTGGTGATAGAGAACATGTCCCTCTCTTTCTTCTTTAGATGTAGAAAGCCCAATAAGTGTAGGCTAGGGAGACTACACTGATACTCCTCTAGCTGGATAATATGTATACACCTGCTTCTCTACCCATTGAATCAGAACATTTTGTCCATCTTATCTCTTTACATCCACAATATTCTGAAATGAAAGATGTCTTACTATAGAAGTCTGCAGTCCTGCAAATAAATGAAACCCTAACTCCACACTTGGTATACCTGGTAACCAGTGCAGCTTCTAAAGACAAGAAAACACAATGGGCCAATACACAGAATTCCTGATCTGGGTTGCTGCTTTAAATACTTTGTCTCAACTAGCACAGCTACCAGTTCAAGTTTAATGTGGGACTTTCTGTCACAATAGCTGTATGTAACTCTATACTGTTACCACATTATCATAATTTTTATTATTTCAATTATTCTAGAATTGTCACAAACTTTTACTAACTCAATGATATTTAGTTTTTGGCTTTGTGATTTCCAAAAACAAGCCATGCTCTACTTGAGTACAGTAAATTATTAAAATGCAATTCCTCTCCTTCCTCCCAAGATATTAATTGTTATTTTGCATTTGACAAGACCTCAGTCTAGCTCAGTGATTGCCTTTGTACCTGCCCATGGACTGGGAGAACAGAAGATTTTCTGATTGCTTTCACTACCAGTACAACACTGTTGAGGTGGGACCATTTTCATTTTGGCAAAGAGACAGTAAGAAAGCATCTGTATAGAGTCCCAGAACAGATGCACTGTTGAATATAAACTGATACTGAAAGATAAATTTATAATAAAAATATTAAACCATCAGATTAAGACCTCTTTCACCTGACAAGATTTTGATGTATAAATGGAATGTTTAATGGGCTGCATTAATGTAATTAATTTACCATCATTATAAAAGTACACTTAGTCTGCAGCTCCCTTTTCTAATCTTATTTTTCCTATTAAATTGACATCTCCAGCTGACTTTCACATTCCCACTTGTAATAATTAACTTCTTCAGGCTTTTAACCTTTAAAATCTTAAAGCAAATTAAATTCTTCATAATTCCATAACCCCCAAAATTACTTTTTCTTCACTAAAAGTATGAACAGAAGGAGAAAAAGGAAATGCCACTTTGCTTTTCACTGCAACTAGAAGAAAAAGTCTAGTAACATATGCAACCTGATAGGTTTTCATCATGCTCTTAAAACAGTTAATTCAACTGGATCTTATGCATGCATTACCCTGAGATAGATTTCCCTCATTAACTTAAATAACAGTAGACATAAATCTTGACATAATCTTCTCTGTGAACTTTACTGTCCGTAAAGCATATGGAGTCTTCTTTGCCAAAGAGAAACTCAGTCATTTTTACACTCCTGGTGTGGAGCCAGGTTTTTGTATCAGTGTGGCTGGCAGGATGAATCAGCGAAATAACTCTACCTCCCTGTCTTTTATTGAATCCTATCAGATTACCAAGTTTTTAAAGGCCTCATGAAAGGTTCACGAGCTAAGCGGCAAATTTATAAGTGAGGATAAACAGACTGTCAGTCACCATCAGTGACAAAGTCATACTTGGGCACCAATGTGAACACAACATGATGAACATCATCAAAATCTAATAGTCCCTCTCTTGGCATTCTTACATAACCTGAATCGGGGTACTAGTGCAGCTGCAGCCAAAACATTAATTTCTTATTGTATAACCTTTTACTGCGTTGTGTACCTGAATATGTAGCTCATCATTTCCCTGTCATCTAATCTGGTGAGAAGCAAAGCTTTCTCATTTGGAAGAGAGAAGAAATTCTGCCTTCAACATGAGTGAAGGAAAGTTGTAGCATTTACTATAGTCATCAGCTAGTTGCACTGTGGGGGAGTTAAGTCAAGAGTCCACAAATAAAAGGCATTTAGGAGTACGAGAAGAGCAGGGAAAAGGCTGGGAAAAAGCAAGTCGTGAGAAAAAAAGTAAATTTAAAAGGCTTAGAGATGCTATCTAGAAAAGACCAAGAAAATACTCAAGCAATAGAGGATTTCAGTAATATGGTATATTATAATATACCATATTACTGAAATCTTCTATTATAATTAAATTATGGCATATTACTTCCAAGTAAAACTTGAAAGTCAGCCAGAAGCCAGTCTGCAAGCAAAAACAGGGGCTGACAGACACTTATTGGGGAGAACCCTTCATCATCAGTTCCAATGGACTACCTTTCTCACTGATTGGATGGCCAAACTTGATTTTGCACAGGTTTAACCATCAGAATCCTGAGGACATCTGAATTTCTTTCATCTATGACATCCTCTAGATATATTTTTAATTTTTTTAAGATTCCAGACATGGAATGTCTCAGTGATTGAAATTCGTGAGTATCATTACCATTTAGTGGGAAAGATTGTCATGATCCTTTTACCTCATACAAATAGACAGATATATGGGCACACATGTATATCAATTGCAGTTTTCCTTCCATGTCCCCACAGACCACATTTTAAGAAAACTCTCAATTAAATAGAGTCAGCAGATAGGCAGATTTGTAAAGAAAACAAATAAGACAAACCTTTTTTTCATGTCTTCGGCAGCTCAAGGATGCTCACATCATCACTGCTCTAGGTAAAACATGTAGACAAGATAATTTTTAAATTAGTTTATACCCCAAGCCCTCTGGACACATGGAGAATAAACAGTAATAAATGAGGATTTCTCTTCTCAGTAAGACAGAGACATACAACAAATCACAGGAGGAAAGTTCCTTTGCAACAATTGGAAAGTTAATAGGTTTTTTTCAATGTCCTGCTTGAAAATTAATCTTCCTCTTAATCAAACTCTTATGGATAAATAATACTTTTCCTGTCAACAAGACTAGATTTAATAATATTTCTTATCTTGAAATGGCAGTCTGGAAAATATAGGTGCTTTTTTTTCTATTTTTATTGTAGCTTAAACTTTTTTTGTGTGCTTGGTCCTATACTCAGGCCAGACCTCTTAAGCAATTTGGAAAGGTAAAACCTACATGATCCTCAAGCCAGAATGTTTCTGCATATGTATAGCAGATCAGAGTGAGGGACCTCTCAGGAGATATCTCCTGAGTTTGACGCACCTCTGAGTTGAGCAGTGGGCCTTCCAGCACACAGCTTAAGACTCAAGTCCTTAAATTCTACCTAGTTTAGGTGGAAGTCCTTTGTTTCAACTGGTCCCCACTAACAAAAAGATGTACATTGCCCTCTCTAGCTCGTAATTCCCTGCTGCAATACCTGATGGGTATTGCAAACTTGCAAGCATTAGAAACACTTTCAAGTTTAGTATTCACCATTCTTGCATGGTCTTGTCTCTTTTCTTTCTGTCCAATTTTCTGTGGGTCAAACTGCCTTCATTTGCTTTGTTGCAGATTTCTACACCTCCAAATGTGCTTTATGTGGTTTCACAAGGTTGAAAGAGGAAAGTTAAATTTGATTTTTCAGATACATGGGGTAGGGGTTCACCCCATCATATTTTTGAAGCTGGGATAATCAGCAGTGGTTTCACTCAAGGATATGGTTCTGAATGAAACTAAAATGTATGCTTGCATGATAAAAATACTTAAATATAAATGTCATCCGTGTGCATGTAAAATGTTACAAGGATTCCATTCAAGACATAATTTTAGACTACAAAATTGCTGACTATACTCCTTAAATATTGAGAATAAAGGGATCAGGGACAAAAAGCAGGAGCATGACATTGATTCAAATAATTTTCCTCCTAAAATTTTTCTCTCTGTGATATGATAAAATGATGAATTAAATAAATAGTATAGATATTAGAAAAGCTTAAGAGAAAAAAATGTATCAACAGAGTAGCTAACTGAAATACTTCTAACCCTATCCAATAAAATACATTGCAACAGCATCCCAATAGATATTTTTTTCCACAAGCAGTTTTTATAGATAAGGCACAGGTGTCTAAAGTGAAACACTGGCTCAGAACTGTAAGTCAGGAACAGATAAATGCTAAGAACAGTGATGGAGGAAATACAATAAAGCGCCCACTGAAAAGGCTTTCTATATTAGTTTTCTTGGCTGTAATTGTTTGTTGTCATACTCACAAAGTTCCCAACCAGAAAAAGAATAGATTGAAAAATTTAGCTTGGTCTCATGATAGGCTCTTAAAACTTCAGATAAATATTGCAAAATTGAATTTAAAACACTTATTCTTTTTTTTCAGAATTCCTCATACTTTTACAGCTATTTTACCTCCTGCATAGACAGAGTGACAAGCAATCTTCAGATATGAACTCACATATAATTTCCTTTGTATCCCCGTCTCATTTAGTATTCAGGGGTTGGATTATAAATCAGCAGCAACTTTACGGTGTCATTTAATATTCCTCAAATTTTATCCATTTGGTACTATAACTAAAGAAGCATTTTTTCAAATATTTCATATATATGTAATAATATTTGTAAATAAAATAATCTGTATTTTCCAGTAAATATAAATCTTGAAAGGGATTTTTCCATTTTTTCATGAACATTTGACTTAATTTTCTCCACATTTACAGATAACATGTTTTTATTTTTCAATATTTTTCAGTCACCTGTTGAATTATTACAACTACAATACTTCATATTTCACATACAGTCCTGGAACTCTGTATTAGCACTTGGATTGATTTACAGAAACTTCTGAAAACACCTATCATGGGAAAAAATAAGCTAACTATGAATGAAAAGTGAAAAATACAAAAAAATAGTAATAATAATAAAAAAGACATCTCAGCTTTTATCAGCTCACCAAGACTGTGGCTCAAGGGGGAAAAAAAATCTTTTTTAATTGCATCTCAGAAGACAAGTTCTTCACAACAGAACTGAAAGAAACTCTGAATCAAGCAATTATCTAAATTTCCGTAGCAGGTCAGAATTTGATTTTGTCATTTATTTCTCCAAGATTAACTGAAGAAACTTTAAAAAGGAGGCTTTCTGAATTCAACATTAAAATGCATGACAGTCCAAACTGTATGCAGCAATTTCACTCACTTTAATATTCAATACAGCACAAGAACTACATTGCTAACTGAGTTCATTCTGGCACATAAATTTCCATTCACTGTGGCATTTATCTGAGACTATACTTCATTCCTCTACAGCACTCATCTAAATACAGGAGAAAATCACAGAATCCCTTTGCTAGGCAGGATATTGAGTTTGTGCCACAAGTTCAGGAATTACTTGTGATTTATTTATTCCTGTGTTGGTAAATTAGTGAGAAGACTGCTCATGTGGATCTCCACTGAGGAGACAGCAGAGTAAGACCATGGAGGTTTGGAATGAAATATTTTATACAGAACACATCTCCTCTGCACTTGAGCAAACCATCTATTACCCTTTGTCTTGATTCCACTTTCTAAAAGACAGGATAAGCCATCCCAAGTAACTTTCAATACTACAAGGATTTTAAAAATACAAAAAAACCCACCAAAAAACCTCATAGCTCTTTTTAACAGAGATAAGAATGATGCACAGTTTGAAAATAGCAACAGTTGTTTATATCACACAAAAGGAAGAACAGTGCCACTGTCAGCTGTTCCAGGCAAAATATTTCCCATCCCCCTTGCCCTACTTTTTACTCCAAAGCCCTTCACAAGTATGGAGCTTCAAACACTTAGTGTAAACTGGAAGAAATGACAGGAGGATGTGAGCTGATGCGGTTGATATCTGGGAGGCACCATGTTCTTTTATTTCTTCTTATTCTTGGGACCAAAGCCCCTTGCTATCTATTCTCTTTCTCCCCTTTCCTTTTCTTCCTCTTCCATTCTTTCTCCCTCTTTATCACCTAAAACTCTTCAAGAAGGCAATTTCCAAGTCTTCTTGTTTATATTTCCATTAGGTTGGGTCAGGCAATCTTGGCCTCTGCTCTCAGGTAAAACTCAAGGCATGCTGCAGACACTCCATCTGCCAGTTTGCCTGCCCCAGGGCTGGGAGCCCTGCAGGTGTCTCGGCACCACTCCACACTTGTGTTAATTAGCCCAGGCACACGCTGATGAAGCTGTAATGCTTTCAGAGCCAGACAAGTATCTCTGTTGCACTGTGTAGTTAGAGCTGTTATAGTCTGTTGCTCCTCATTGTCACAAATATTTTTGCATTATATTTTATAATGCTGTAATTGATTAGTTGCTACATGACCCACTTTGTTTTATCATTTTTTCATTTTTTTTTCTAATATCAGTCTTCCTATCTTTTCTGACTTCACCATTACATTCTTTTTGTCTTTTAAGACTTACCCAAAATCTTCCTTCTCTAGTTTTGGTATTTCTGTTCTATTGACACCTCACTCTTTTTTTCTTCTTTCAGCATTTTCAAAATTGATTAATTTATTTTATTAGTAGTAATTTTAACCTTCTCTACACTCTGGCCTTTTTGAGGAAAAGGCTGAGCGTAGAAACACGACGGACAAAAGCAGAAATGTTTATCAAGAGGAAGTTAGCACTTGATATCTATGCCATTAACCACTGTAACACATATGAGTTGACAGAAACCTTTTTTTTCTCATTTTATATTTATGAAAACCAGTTTCTGCTTTCCTGTAAAATGAGTCTTAAGGTGAGAAGAAGACAGGAAGTCCTAACACTAGACTTGCTGCCTTCCATAATTTGAAGTACTTGCAGGCTAAGACAAAACATTCCTATTCCCTGGTACTTTATGGTCACAGACAGAGAGAAGGCTTCTGGCAGCTGCTTCCTGTGTTTGAATCAGCTCTAGGCAGTTCTCTGCTCCCATGGAGTGTTAGTTGCACACATCACTTTCTACACACTCTCTGATGATGGAAGATGCTGCAAAAAGCACAGCAAAGAAAGCTGTCTCTAAGGGCCCCATACATTCAACAGCAAAAGAACTGTCTGCAGCTCCTTTTATGGCTGTTGAATTAAGAAGTTCAGAGAAATTCTTAATCTCTCCTAGCAATTTCCATTTTCCTTTTGCTCTACCTCTACCAATCTTTCTCTGCATGGTTCATGGACCACAAAAATGGCAAATCAACAACTTCTTTTTTTTCTGCTCAGGTTTTGTAATTGAAATGTTAAAATTGCTAGGAAGGGAGAGAGCATGGCTATGGAGGCCCCAGAAGGAACAAGAAGAGAAAGAGATAAAAGGACGACAAGTTTGGATGACAGAGCCCATCATGAAGGTTCCAGAACATCCATCTATGCTTGATTTCACAATAACACCCAAAGTGGGAAAACAAAGGACACTTTAAAAGGATAGACCATAGCCATTGGAGAGCATGGCAGGAGACACAAAAAAGAAAAAAGTTTGTCAGCAGGGCTGCCTAAAGACTCTCAGGGGTCAAACACAATGGAGACACACCATCCACAATTTACATCCAGGAACCAGCCCATGGCCAGCAAACATGCTAACCAAATATTTCTTCTCCCTTCCTCCTTCTCCACCTACTCTACACAAAAGGAGTTCAGTCACCTCCAAAAAGACCGACTGACCTAATGTGTTCACCATCTTAAACACATGAAGAAGATATTATCAGGAAAGCAATCTATCAAGACGCAAATTCAGAGACAGCAATTTAAATCAACACACTTCCACAGGCACTGGAACTTTACAAATCTTAGACCGCTGGAGCAAATACAAAAGATACAATAGAACGTCTGAAGGAAAACTAACCAATACTTTGTTTACAAAATGTTGTAACATTAACTGGAATAATGCAATGAGAAATAAGTCTAACTCTGAATATGGCTAAAACAGTCTCAAATATGAACACTTAGAAAAAAGATTTCTACCAGATATTTATAGAGTCCCTGTAGAAGTCAGGACTCAGTCAACCATTTACACAAAATTACTAGAGTTTCAGAAAAGCAAAGATGGTTGGCCAATAACTTCTGGCACAGCTCTTACACTGCAATGAAAAAAATTTCCAAATGGTTGTTTACAAGGTAGATCTCATTCCTCTGTGCAAATATTTTGCAGGATATTTTTTTTTCCTTAACAACCCCTGTGGCTGATTTCAATAATTAATATCAGGTTGAAAGACAGGTTCAAGCTTCAGTGAAGGTCTGAATGCAATGTTTTTAACAAATTTACAGCTCTAAACTAATGGTGAACCTATATGTAATGACAAAGGTATTCAGGAATTAACTCCTCTGCTTCTCAGTTTAGGCAAAAGCTTTTATGTGATGCACTGGTGCTGAATGGATGCCTTGTTGCAGGGTACTGACTGGGTCTGTTTCATGGATACCATGGCAACTCCGGTTGCAATTGTTCGGAAAACTTCCCTGAAAATGGGTTGCAAATAACAGAACTTGGAGAGCAAGGCTGAGGTGGGTAGCTGTATTTTTGAACCTGCATTTAAGTGAACTCTTCCATCATGGTACAAGATTTTGATGGGACTAAAGAAAACTAAAAAAAATGCTGTGAGATGTCTGGGTACTGGAGTAGCCTCCTGAAAAACACCTGCAAACATACATCCCCCAAAAGACCAATTACTGGGCATCTCCAGAATCAAAATTAAGTCCCTCATATCTTTGGCCAACACACTAGCTACTTTGGAGGTTAGAACCAAGACCCAAAATTAACATCAGCTTGAAATCGAAATCAATAACAAATAAAAGAAAATGAAAATTATAAAGATAGCATTGTAGGGAAATATGCAGAACACTTATGGATTAAGAAGGTCTTAAAGACCTGAATATTTATCAATCCTCTAAAGTTGTAGTTATAGAGAAATGAGGTCTGAAAAGGACATATAGACATCAGTAACAGAATTATGTAAAGTGGAGGAAAATTTCAAAGTACTGAGATCTTATAATTAGACCAGGGAAGCTAGAATTCAGCTTCCTAAACTACTTCTGTGAGACAAGAAAATGAAAATAAAAATAGTAAAGACATGAAACAAACTACTAGTCAAATATTTAAATAAGTATAATAATGATTTACTTCCCATTATCAGGGAGAAGATTGTGCATCTTGCACCTCCTCCAGGTTAAAACCAGTTTGCTTTTTCTGAAGTTTTTGCAACTAGAGCCACCAAATAAACATTGAAAGTCATTCACCACCACCACCACTACATCCATCATCAGTTCTCAAGGATGGGACTACCAATGTGAGGACTCCATAAAGAAAGCTTCCTTCCATGTGTATTGTTTAAGGGTACGAAGCCTCCTACTATACACACTTTGGACAGGACCTTGATGGTCTGTTGAGGCACTGGGTCACAAACTGCTGGAGAGCAAAAAGAAAAGCTGCTAAATGGAACCCACTCCCCTACAACATTTAGTACAAGTTTTACATCCCATTGGGTTCTCCCTCTTTCTATAACAACAACAGAGCCTGATATTTCTGAAGAAAACATTTACAACACAATTGGAAAAGGGCTGCTATCAGCTATGTAACACAGGAGTGTAGTTCCATTATTAAGCTCCTTACCTCAATCTATTAGTGAGCAAGTTGCAGTTGTGGGACTGCACACATGGGTGCTTCAGACTGCTGAAACTGAAATATATACCCTGGCTCACTAGGTACACAGCTTTAAAGAGGAAAATATACTTAATCCCATTTGCAATAAAGTGTCTCCCAAGAGACAAGTTATGGTTGAAATGTTGACTGATGGCCCAAATCTTAGACTTTTGGAATAATTTAGAGAGAGTACTACTTCTGAAGAATTCAAAGGAGGGAACATTTTTCCTTTTTTTCTCCTGAAGCTGATGAGTCAAAGAGAAGTAGAAGATATATGAACTCGACTGAGTTCTCCTTGATTTATACCTCACAACTGACCCTAAAATGTGGATATCTCCAGGTGGATTTGGCAGCCTCAGGCTGAAACATTATGAATTCATCTCGAAAGAGTATTTTGAAAAATACTGGTTAACAAGAAATCACCTTCAAAGCAAGTTTTCTTACTCTCTATCTCTGTAGAAACAGAGACAGAGACAATATTTACAAGTCCAAGTGGTAAATTAATATAAAATATAAATGTGCAAGTCGTCATAGCCTGTTTTATTAATATACAAACTTCCCAATACTTCTAAGTTTCTTCCTCTAAGAAAAACATTTAACACTAGCATTTGGAATAGTTGTCCAAAGCATTATCTCCTGTGTAAATCTACCAGATTGACAGAAAAGGCAGCTCTTCAATTTGTTTCAGGAACTGTAGACATATTTGAAACTTCAATACGTACTTAAGGGTTTTTTTTTGTTTTTTTTTTTTTTATCCTCTGTGTAATTCTCTGGTAATTCCCTAGTTTATTTAAAAAATTTTAGCTCCTACAACTATCAGAAACTTCACAAAGAGATTATTTTGTTTTGGTCTGATTTTTTTTTGTTGGAAGTCAGTACACTCCAAATCAGTTGGAATATCAAGGCGGGGAAAAAGGGTGATTGCATATAGCCCAATATTCTAGGATTTATTTCTAGCAGGCTGGTACAATAGATTAATATATCCCTGATATATTAATTTTCATTAAAGACTACTACAGCAGAAATTTAAACTCAAAACAAATTATGCAATACCTAATAGTGACACCATTTAATAAGCTTAAGTTCTATTTCTTTCTGTATACTTTCCTGCACTAAAATCAGGAAGAAATGCTCAATATCATCAGTAAATACAAAATATATATAACAACATTTTACCAAATTTTCATGCATACTTTGCATGGCAATAATAATGGAGAGAAAAGGTCAAATTACAATCTATTTCACACTGCATATTCTGTTGATATTTATCTCCCTTTAATAATCTAGGCTAAATTACATAGCTGGTTATCTTACACCATGGAATCTTTGATAACACAAGTTATTTTCCTGCATAAATACTGACTACAATGACAATGTACCTGCAGTCATCCCACACAAGTCATTGTGTGTTATGAATTATTGAACATACTGTTCTCCTTACAGTCAGTAAGGAAAAGTCAGTCTCCATTCTGTCAGGAGTTTTAACAGGAGAACTTATCCTGAAAGGGAAGAAACACCCCCTGAATAAGGAAAAACTAAGGCAGGGCTGGAAGAAGCCTCAAGATGCACAAGCCTGGCCTTCAGTAGGAAAGAAAACTCATTTAGATCAGCTCTAACCAATATAATTTTATTTTTTACTCTGTACAGCATGAACTGAAGAAGGTTCCACACACTTTCTTGGTAGGCTATTCCAGTGGTTTATGAGCCTCACCATTTAAAAGTGGTTTCCTCACTTGTCAGCAACATGTACAGATTATTTTTATTTTCTCCTAGTATTACTGGGGTGTGGGGAAGCAATTGCCATCTTTTTATTAGGGGCTTGCATATCTTGCAAAATATATCATCTCTTTTTAAACTTACCAGAGTGGAATTCTTTCATGATTTTCACTGTTTTCCAAACCTTATGAATTTCTTTTCTTCTGAATATCCTTCACTTTAGCTATGCATTCATTCAAAGATGACACTTAGAGCTTCACACACTGTTCCAGCTGAGAGTTTTAGTCACATCAGAGAATAAGAATTATCTCCCATGTGTTACAAGCAAAAGTCTTGCTACTTCATTTAAATAAAAGTCCTGTGATTTTACTCCTACAAGAAAAGGAAGAAAGTTTATGTGACCTTTTCCTTTTTCTAGGCATGTTGCTGACCATCTGCTGCAATCCTCGACTGCAGTGCTGGTGATTAGCTGGTTCATCATTTCTCAAAGTTTATTCTGGTGTTTTCTTGTCCTATTTAATATATACCAACACAGTTAAATCCAGAGATGTTCTAACTGTATGCTGCATTTTAACAACAAACCTAATTTTTAAATCATTAGAGCTTTAAAGCATTAGAGCTTTAAAGCATTTAGAGCTATACCAATGAAGGCCCTTTCAATTTGAGAGAAAACCACAGAGTGTGGGGGACAGGACCAGCCAGTTGCACACATTGCACTGATCAGCAGTTTCACCTGGGCAATGTCATTGGTCATTTTGCTCATATCACATAAGAGGATATCAGAATTCCTACAGGGCAAAATGACAAATGTTGCTCTATTTCTTTATCCACTAGATGAGCATTTTCCACTGAAGAAAGTAAACAGATTTTTTTGACACACTTTGCTCTTGTCAGATTTTTCTGTTTGTTTTCTTCTTATTTCATTATCCTCTAGGTTCTATAAATTGTTTCATAATTCATTTAGAGCATGTTTTTTCTTCCCTAGCACTGCACATTGTGCTCATTTTTTTCACCCTAAACTACATTTTCTATATACTGTTTATTATTCTTCAGTCCCCAAGGACTAACCTGTCCTCCATCATTTTTCAAAAGTAATTAATGAATAAAAAAATGCCTCTTGCTTTTTTTTAAGCCCTTGAAGATAAAAAGACATTACAGTTTCCCAATTAAAAATGGCCAAGTTAATAAAAGAATCTTAAAATTGTTCTTTCTCTGCCCATATTAAAAATTAATGCATTAGAAATCTAATTATAATGTATCTTTATTCTTCCAAAACAAATGCTTTAATGCTATCATTTTTTTTTTGAAGAGTGATGGATGCTTTCATTTATATATCTATTTTTTCAATGAATTTTTTCCTTTTTTTTGCAAATTAGGCAGGTTACATGCTAGTTTAGTTCTCTGTATTATGTATTCACTTATGCTATCCTTTTTTTTTATTGTCTTTAGCCTTTCTTCTGCTCCTCAGATACAATCAAGATGCGGAAAAAAATATTTTTGAGTACACAAAAAGTAAAGTACCTTCTCAGTCACTACTGATTAAATTTGAGAAGCAATGGAAGAAGGCTAAATAGCCATGAACTCGAAAAGTGTACACAAAATATATTGAAAGTATAATCAAGAAATGAGGACCATGGGAAGCACTGCAGAAATATTGAAAAGACCCAAACCAAAACCAAACAACCAGAAAAAACACAAAATAAAAGATAACAAAACAAACCCAAAATAACAAAAACCCTCAACCTCTCCATATGCTTTCATATCTCTACTTCTGCACTAGTATAAATTGCCACTGTTTTTTTAACATATTCCATTTTCTCATAACATATTTTGAGAAGGTTTGAAGAGAGAGCTTTATTACTTAGCTGTTTTTCCCAAGAGACCCTGATTTTCCCAAGTTTATTAACTTTGCCACTGTATTCCTTTCTGTGGGATTGTGAACACTGTCATTTCAGAAACTTTTCCAACACCTCAATAGGTCACTTAAACTTCTCCCTGCATTCTCTGCATTCTGGAGGGAGAATATAGCCTAAAATAGTCACATTCTCTACATCCTCCACTTTCTGAAACAAAAGTCTAACTGTCAGTGTGGCTTTACAGTGCCACTCAGGCTTGCTGTGACCTGTCATACTGTTTTCCCTCAATACTTGAAGTCTAACATTGTCATTAGCTTCTGTGCTTTGGATAGCTCTTTAAATTTCTCAGAATCAGATACATGAAAAATAGAGGAATTTCTTGTTCTTCTAATGCTTAACCAGTGACACTGTGTATTTGAGTAAGTTTGAAAAGCAGCCAAAGTCTTGATGAGCTATTGAATATAACAAGTGGAAAACCTTGCAGTTTAGTTAGACAGACTTTTCCATTTTTACTCATGCTGATAGTACTTTATTCCATAAGTAATTGCATTGATTTAGCTCATTACTCCAGGTTTAGCGATAAACAGTGCCAGAAAGAAAACTTAGCAGAAATAACAGGGGGAGGGAGGAGCGTGTGAAATCAGTGACATGGCACTTAAGTTTGTATTTCTTAATTAAACAGTTCTCTCTGTAGCTACAATTATGGGACTTGCAATTAAAGACTCTAAAACCACATTCATGATTTATTCATGTCCAATGAGTAATTTAAACTGCTTAGATTAAGTATTTTTAATAAAATACAAATAGAGGATGAAAACACATCAGGTAAAGCAAACCAAGATGGATAGCTACTGCTATTTACATAAATGTATGCAGCAGCCAGTTGATAAACACATGTCACAGACAATATTTAATTAGCAATTTAATTGGGAAATACAAACATACATTAGAGAATTCAAAGGTAGATTTTCTTCAGTGTGATTTGACTCTCATAAAGTATAAGAGAAGAGAGATCAGCTAGGCACCAGAATGACATATATAATAGGATACATTGGAAACATTTGTCCATCACCTACAAATAGAAAAAAAATAGAACAATATCTAAGATATTTATCTAAAATTTAAAAAATTATTTTTAAAATGCTCTTTACTCTCTATTGTCTATAAAAGTCTAAACTAGCTTCAGTGTGGACATGAAAATCCTCCAAATTATAATGAAATCAATCCTCTACAAATTACCTGTTTTACAGGTGTTTTCCTCAAAGCTCACACATAACTCAAATAATAATTTCAACCCAAAAACGATAATTTCAATTGCATATATGATATAAAAAATAGAAGTAGAAGACTGTGTAATCCTAGGAGTATAAAGACACCTACTGGGTGAGCAGAAGTGAAGCAGCATAAAGTAAAAATGCTAAGGTGCAGATGTCAGTGTAGGCAGGTGGTTGAGAAAGAGAAAAGAACATGAAGAAGCTGCGGATAAATGAAGAACACTTAGTCTGAAGCCATACCTATGCATCAAGTCTAACTAGGTCAATCTGAGGTTTATGACTAAAGGGGCACTGCCCTCCATCTGTGTGCAGATCCTATTGCACTACAGCTGCATGTGAAGATTTTGCTCACAGAGAATAGATCTTCTCTGCTGCCAGGACATGGCAACAACCACCTCTCAGTTGTTCTCTTGCCTGAGGGCCCAGCTGACATAGGAAAAGCCTCAATACATTAAATGCATATATCATACCATGAAGAGGAATCATGGGTACACCAGGAATGTTGGAAGATACGTTGGTAACTTGCTCCTGAGACTTTTCTGTAGCAACATGGAAAAGCAGCAGAAACAAGCTGAGTCAAATATTTTGGGGTAGAAGTAGCCCATGGGCTAATGGCTGCTCCTCCCTGTTCTCCAGATTCTATAAAACTTTAAAGCAACTTTAATGACCTACTGTCAGAGACTGGAATGTTATGATTAATCATTTAAACATTATTATAAAGGACTTTTTTCCCAGTATGACAAAACTGTACGGAGAAGTTGCGACCACCAAAGACTGCTCTTGCCTGGATCTGCCTCCTTTCTGGAACTTTGAGCTGTGAATTAAGACACCTAAGGGAACTTGAGATAAAAGTGACACTATTGTCCAATTATCTCAGGTCTGGGGAGAAGTAAACAAGACTGAGGGAGAAGAATGTATTCACAAGAAAGCCACACCCACCAGCTGTCCTGAATATAATCCCTGTCTGGGTCCAAGGGTGGGGGGGTCCATAGCCCACAGGCTCATCTGCTGAGGCCAGGTTTGCACACTGTCACCCAGCCGAGATGGGGGAGGAGATGTTGTGTAGGGGATTGTTTGAACTATCTATCAGAAGTAAATCATATTTTCTTATTTTCCATCCTGGACAGCAGAACTTACGACAGATAATATTCAGAGCACAAAGTAGTGAGCTAACCATCATTAAAAGTACACTCAAACATGGGGCAAGGGACCAAAGCAATTGTGTCAGAATTTATAAACATCTTCCATAGGTTAATGAAGCTGTTGGAACTTCTTGCATTTGACAGAAGCAAGGGCCAAGCCAAATCCATTTCTTAAGTCTTAGGAGCAGGGAAAATTAATACTGACAGACATTTGAAGGATAATAGGGCTATCTAAGAAAATCTTTCCCTTAGATTCATACATACAGGCTTTGAGTTGAGCATAATACTTAGAGGTAGAATCCATTAATGAGCTAAGCCGATAGACTGATATCTATGACCGTGATCAGCTTTCACTGATACAACCATTACATCCAAATTTCAATAAAAACCAAAACAACACACTTATCCCATACTATAGTAAGCCATCATATTTTCACTGCATGATTAAGTATAGTGCAGAGATCCCTGACTCAGCAGAGTCAAAGGCACTCTTAACAAGACATTCTTAACAACTTGTACTGAAGCTAATTATCCCTTTAAGATGCAATAGCACTTGTGACTCTAGAATTCTAGGATGCATATTTCTACAACTTGTTTTGGAGTAAACTTCAAGCCAGGCATCCACAACATCCGTAACAGAAAATCTGAATGGGCAAAATTAGAAGATCCATAGAAAACAAGAAGCTTAAACACCTCTTGCCTACTATAATCAGCTAACTTCAGAGCATGTTTCAAATGCAGCCTGCTTCTTAAGTCTCAGATAAATTCAGCTTCGTAGTAGAGTTATATTGAGACCTACCAAAAAAAACCCACTCCACTTCCAAGTGAACTTAAATAGTCCAAATCTAGAATTCTATGAATTTAAATTGCTGACAGAACTTTCAAAATAATAATAAAAAATAATTTTAAAAAACCCATATAGTGAACATCAGTGCAGTTACTTTGTGTACCCCACTACCAGACATAAATGCACTCATTCAAATTTACTAATAATCAAACTTGAATTGGGGTATCAATACAGGCTGAGGCATGAAGGGATGGAGAGAAGCCCTAGGAAGAAGGACGTAGAGTTAATAATGGATAAAAAGCCGGACATGGAC